GAGTTGTGGCTTGAAATGTTTTAACGATATATTTGAAATCAGTAGGCTGCCATATTCCATTTCAGCGTTTCCAATGTTAGTGTCCATATTTGTAGTTTAAAGAAAATATCGCATTTGTATAAGCTAGGGAATATTTAATGCAAATTGGGCCCACATGGCGTAATCAGTACACATCTATGGCTATAGTAAAATAAGTACAAGACGAATAATTGTTGCTCTGTCTGAGCAACAACATACACAGCAGAAGTGTATTGTACGGTAGGCAGATAATGTTTAATTCACAAAATATATTGCATGGATCTTTAACTGAGAGCACATGATTACCTCAGTCTGTTACGTGCAAGATAAATCCCAGACGTGTATTCAAACATCGTCGCGATCCCTAGGTGTACAGATAACGAACAAGGGGATCGATCTTACAATGGCCTTCTCATTTTTTTAGTCTTGTCAAAAGAAAGTGAGAGACGGTGTATTCCGAAGCGTTGGGTTTGGTAGACTAAGATGCATTAACACTAATAAAGTCGGTCTGCCGGCAGCTAGTGGATATTTCTCAGTTGTTGACGGGTTTCAATCCAAATATACATTTTCGATTTGGGTCTACGCCTGAAGATCTTAAATATACTGATGTTTACCGCAAACAGAAAGTAATTTCTCAGAAGATTAAAAAGCTGAACTTTCAAAACCGGTATATCATGAAGAAAGTAGACAGGGAAAGCTGGGGTAGCCAGTGATGAGCCAGATCCCTCGCAGTTGTGGTAAGCAGCAGCAGCAGAATACCGGTAAAATACGTGTCTGGGAATTTTAGATAGTACCTAGGCTGTTAGTATAGTAAGTTACAACATATTTGCGATTCCCAGGTACACACATAACGAACTAGTGGATCGATCTTACAAAGACCTTCTCATTTTTTCAGTCTAGTCAAAAGAAACTGAGGAGCGATGTATTCCAAGCGTTCCCTTTGGTAGTTTTGGATGGCATAAATCCGTGGACTTTATTGGAAACGGTGCGCATAAAGTCAACAGACTTGCCAGGTCGTTTGCGAAGGAGAGACTCTGCCATTCCAGTGCATCAAGAAAATTCTTAATTAAGCTAATATCCCCAAGAAATAAGTAAAGTTCTCTTTGTGTTGTGTAGTGAACAGGGTCAGCATACCCTCCAACGGCATTAACGAGTGGCAGGTTGATGCTTTTTTCGAAATATGCATTTCTAAGCTTCCTCAACGCGTGCGCGTGCATGTAAGAAAGCTGTTGAAAAGCCAGGCTTCCAAATTGTGCGCAAAAATGCAAAAGAAGAAAATATTATTTTATGGGCTTTTGCCCCTAGTGACGTCCTGAGACGTGTGGCTTGAAACCAATAAGTTGTTTCATCCTAACTCAGAGCTTCCAAGCTCATCATGCATATTTGAAGCTAAGCGAAACCACTGCATTTATATAGAGTATTCGCTAAAGTCCGTCCGAGTCTCTTAGTGAAATCTAAGTTGCTACTTTAACATATATTCCGTAACACTATTTTGATTCATTGAATCGATTTAATTCTGCGAAAGCCCTTTAGTTAGACCCATTAAGAGAAATAACCATCAATTTTGGCGAAACGTGGAATAGCCTCATATCGGAGGAATTTCATGTGCTATTTCCAGAGGCATAAACAAACTGCTTATTAATGTTGATTATACTATGGAGGAAGTCCAAAATATGTTAAACAAGTGTAGAAGATATTCTGGCAGGAGTTTCCTTGGTAGCGCACGAATGTTCTTATTTATATGTACATGCTTACTCAATGAATTTCTGTTGTGGTTAAGGTAAGGGTCAGGGGTAGAATAATGGTTAGGGTTACGGTAAGGGTTAGAGTGGGATAGTGATATCGTATGTAAAAACCTCAAGTTTCTGCCTTGCTGACAGCGTGGAAGTAGGCATGTAATTATAAATAAGAACACTCATGCGCTGGCAAAAGTAGCTTATGAAGCCCCGCTACTTAATGCGTACAACCTGCATGTTTTCCTACGAAAACAGTGGTTGTGGGCGGGAAATTAGGATATGAAGTGCAATATACTTTAGTAAGTGCTAAATGCATTTTATTTTACTGTATTTAGACGCGTTATTGATTTATATCTGCAGATTTTCCTGCTCCCAGCGGTCGCGGGAAGCAACTTCGATTACATTTTTTCACTTTACACTTCTTTCTACAAATGTCCCTCTCTGCCTATCCTATCTCCCCACCTCACAAAACTCTATAACCACGTTTTCGCAGGACAAAATACTGGGAATATGGGTATATGAGTAGGGCTACGTAGGCTACTTTTGCCCGTGCGCTACCAAGGAAACTCCTGCCGATATTACTTCCAGAACTAG